ACAGTATTAATCTTTTACTAATGTACAATTCCTTTTGTTAAGATTTTGTATTTTGCATTTTGAATATATTTTTAAGATTAACTATTAATAAGTATGTGCTCATTACTGTTTTATAAGGAAACCATGAATCATATATATTTTGATCTAGTTTTTGGTTATATCACATTTATAAGGTGCTTATTAAGTTTCATATTTGAATAAAATTAATTTCCGTATACTTGTTTGTTTCATATTTCACTGAGATTGATTTCATTTCACTTACAGGGATTGATTTCTTGTAATGTGAATTGAACTAAAAACTTCAATTTCAATTATCACTTATAAGAAATATCTTCTTAGGGCTGACATTCCTGAGGCCTGATTTTGACATCTATTAATATTTATTATATGTCATTACATTTATTTTTACCTTACGAGCATAAATAATTTTGTCAATAAAAGCTAATTCAATAAAGAACTACATTACTTAATTCCTTATGAAAATAATAAATAATTTCAACAGCCGTAGATACATTTATTTTAATTACAATTATGCGTTTAGTTATGAATATTTTATAGTTCCGTTGGAAAATTGCAAATGGATATGAAATAAGATTCGAATCTGAATGTTTTGACATTGTAGTACGTAGATTTTACTTACCTCTAATTGTAGTACGTACATTTACATTTATGAGTCCAATTGTGGAATATTAGCACAATTTCACAAATCATAAGTATTGATAGTTTCTAACTACATTGCCAATTGAAATATGAAATACATGAGAACGTACAATTATTTAATTCATTTCCTACTGCAGCCGAAAAATGGTGTGACAGGTTTATTTATTTTAGTGAAATACATTACATAAGAAGTAGCAGAAATGTTATAAAAACATTTACATATGAAGAAGCTGAAATATTATAGAAACATTTCATATTGAGTCATTTCATTACACTCAAATTTCTGGACATAACGTTCCAAATGTAAGTACTTCACAATCCAAAATATGGTCTAATTGAAACCGAAGCTTAAATCCCCACAATGTTGACACACAAATTGACATTAGAAACACAACTAAGATCTGAAATTTCAATGTCCCACAGTTAACTATCGTTTCTTCTCCTCTTCATTGATATTCCATCCGTGACGATCCTACGCAGCAAGGAATGTTTTGATATTCAAAAATTGTTCCATGACGAAATTCGACATTGTAGTACGTAGATTTTACAAGTATGATAATGCAGATAGATCAACTAATTTCACAATTAATTGAAATCTGGAATGTTTTGCATATTTTTGTAATTTACATTTAATAAGTTTTACAAAGAATACTTGTCCTCGTGTCTCACTGAAATAAAGTACATAAATATCTCATACAAAATATTGAAATAGCACGTTCTTCCAATTGTGCAATTCAACTCTGGTGCTCTTCACCTAATCCTCAATTGTTTCTATGTAGGAAGTTGGAACCGTTCCATGGTTTCCTTTAATGGACAGCAACTCATACAACAACAATGGCTTGAATGACATTACGCTTTCCTGCACAAGAAGGAACATGTAATTAAATATTAGTGTAGTGCAACATATGGACAGAAGTTTTCTGTATTTTGATAATTACTTGTGTGTGGGTTCCAATAATGTTTTCTCCATGGAAATCACGAATTGATATAATCGTCACCAAACCAGAGTCATCACTGTAGTAAATTTTTATATTACTAAACTTATACATAAATAGTTTTTGTAAATGCATTAGGAAAGTTCAAGCAATAGTACCTGTTAGCACCGTGAATAATAGGCTTCAAGTAATTTGTGTCCCATGTGGTAAAGTCAACTTCCCATCCAGAGTAAAGCTCTTTCACAACTGTTGTCATTGCGCAAAGAATTTTTTTGACGTTTGAATCATGCATCTTCTTTAGTTCATTTTCATTTGATCGTACCTACGTTGGGTCAGCAACATGTACACATTTAAGCATCATGTCAAGGAAATAGGAGCGCCATGTAACATTAACTAGAGTAGGAACTATAATCTGCATAGAGATTAATAGTTTACTTAATATGACAAAAGTTTGTTCCTCATCAACTACTTTACCTTGTAAATATTCAGCTTGCACACACACACACAAACATAAACACATAATGGATGTGAAAATTCTTACGGTTCTGCACTCTGATATATCATATAATACTGCAATCTTCCTAAATTGGTCAAGCACAGAACGACTGGAGATAACATTCTCGTTTGCTAGGACCATCATCTGCATTCATTTTATGAAATTTCATTACATATTTTATAATTTGACAAGATCAATGATTATGACTAATAATATAATGGTAATATATATAATTGTTTTTTTCGGGAACTTACAGCGAAGTCAGACTCCAGTATATGCCTACACCTTTGCTTCTTTGAAGTGCCATACATCAACCTTTCAAGTTGAACAAGTCTCCTTATACATAAATCAAATACTTCGTAGCTGAATGTTCTGAAGAGTACAAGTGTATCCTTCAATTCATTGCCTGTGACCTCGATGTACCTTGGTTCGTAATGTATTATCCAGCACCTGTTGTATAGAAAATGTGAATATTATTGATAATTATTTATATTATGTATATGCCATTCTTTAAATGAAGTATACTTACACTTCATTTTCCTCTTGCTTGCTTTGTAGTACCCAATTTGATAATGTAGCTAGCATGGCTGATGATCTTTTTAGCATATTACTACCTACAAGCACATGATTAATTGCCAATGGATCGTTGCTTACTTTAATTTTATCAATAGGTGAGTCTGTGAACTCTGCTTCCAGTGCTCTTGCATTTAAGTTCAGGATATCTTCTCTCTGAAACAAACGGAATGCAACAGCTGTTTCGGACATCCGACTAGCCACTGTTGCTGGTGAAAGTTGATTTGGTGGTGTTTGCACATTTTGAATTTCTGCACATGTATTAGAACATGTTTTTTGTACTGCATTAGTTGGTGTTGTTGTTGCATCCATATTTCCTGAAAGAAATAATGTACAGAATGAAAGAGCTTAAAATTTAGATATAAAGTGGAAACAACATATGTTATGACACCAAATGAATTATAGTTTATATAGTTGCACATATGTGACAACAAATTTTTATATGAACCAGAGAAGTAGGTAACTTGAATATAATAAGTACAAAAAAATAAAACATATATCAGTTCTTAATAATGCAGTATGACTTCCTATCTCTTACCAGTAATTCCAATTTCAAACATTTTGCTTCTAGATGAGTCCAGTTTTTTGGAAGTGCCTGAAACATTAATGAAAAAAACTGTTAGCATGTCTTAGTCAGTGCAGCACCTGGTTGTTTTACTTCAGAAGTACTTACAATCACTGTTAGAATCAGCTCCACTATATTCACTTCCAGAACGCTTTATACTATTTCTGGACTTGGGTGGACCTTCAGATTGAACTTCTGTCGCTGGGCTGTGGTCATGAAGCCTCTTCGCTAATTCAAGGTTGTCATTTAAAATGATTTCCAATAGATTGTCTATCTTTGTAGACAGATTTTCCCTTCCTGATTTCGCTAATTCAGGGTTATTAACATGACCGGCCAAAATACCAATTGGCTGTGTAATGGATTTAAACTCAGTCATATGTCTTACAATCCTAGCACTGTGCCATTTAAGATCAATTGTTTGAGGAACGGTTAGCTGATCAAATAAATAGTGTTAGCAAATATAGTTGTTGTCGTAGAAATATTCACATTTTTGCAATTGTTAGAAATTCATACCTTCTTCGGTGTTGTTCCTTGTACATAAGAATCAAGGTAAATATTTAGTGGTCGCTTAGCATGACTTGTATTGTGTACTGCTGCAGGTTTGCTTGAAACTATGTTAGGTATAAATGGAGGTTTCTTCATGGGAAGAGTTGCAAATTTTGATGTACTTGCAGCCTGTTTACAAACAATATATTTTCTGTTCTTCAAGGACTTTAGCTGAGAATCATACAAAAACAATTTTGATTATTTAGACAAATTCATAGAAATATATATGATACGTAACTACACAACATGTTTGTCATACTTTAATACATCTTTTCTATCTTTATTAGATTGTAAATAAAAAATTGATTTCAACAGAGAAGGAATTTACTTTCTATTTCATTTCATAATGAAATATCAATTTTATGCGATACAACATGTGTCTTGATTTCATAAATGTGAAACGTTTGTTTATTTTTCATATTTCATATAACATAATGCATGTTAGTGAAACATGTGTTTGTTTATACTTCTAGAATATTGAATATGGTAAGTATTAAAGTATTCCATATTAGTGAAACATATTTCATATTCCATATTTCACATTAAAAATAGAAAAGATATTAAGTTCAACAATACGAGTCTTTTTAATCATTTAGTTAGTTATACATCTTTTGGAAAGTTGAATATGCTAAGCATTTGATATGTCATTTATTTGACATAGTTAATATGCAACACATTTATTACAAAATTGAATAAGTTTTCTACTAACAGTTTAAATTTGAAACATCATATTTCAGTTCAAAGAAAAGATTCATATTATATTTTCAATTATGTTGCAATCACTTGTATTGATATTAGTATTTCATCTTTTGCAAACTTGAATACTCAAATTCATATTACAGATATCTGACAAATCTAATATCATAAGTATCATATTTCATTATTTGTATATATATAGAATGTATGTATAAAAATTGATATCAATATAGAAGGAATTAAGCTGAGAATGATAAATAAACAATTTTTATAAGTAAGACAAATTCTGAGAAATATATATGATAGGTTACTAATTATATTATAACCTCATTTGATCCGAATGAATGATCATCAGCCTTCTGCCTCACAAGTTCTATCATCTTTGACATCTTCTCATAGTCAAATGCAGAAATAGTAGGCACTACATAATCAGGTATGTTTAGAATTCCAGGATTGAGACTGTCCAAAACGAAAGCCTGTCATATATTTAATAAAGTACAAAAATTAGTTTCCATGCATTAATAAATCATCAGACGCAGAAAATAATATAATATTTCAGAATCATGCTTCTTTCAATTACATTACTCACCTGCAAAAGTAGTGCGCAACTTGAAACATATTTCACACATTTTTTGGTCTTCAGTTCATACTGAGCTTTTCTGGCTGCATTCATAATTTCATCAATTGCTGCTAAGCAAAAGTTGTATGATGGTATTTCATTTGGTTTTAGTAGTGAACCCCAGAAATCTTTAGCTCCGTGATTTGCACTGCTGTGAGCTATTAAGAAATATCCCATTATGAAGCAAACAAAAGAAGTCTTGAATTGGTCAACCTGTGTTGCATCCATACCATTTGGGTACTCCCTGGTTATTATTGTTTTAGCCACCTTCAAACTGTTCATTTCTTCAGGGTCGTATGTAACAGATCCCATTGCCAGATGCAAGAATTCAATTTTCTCATCTACTGATTGGCATTCCAATCCTCTCAACAAGTTCGGACCCTTTGGTATTCTTAGAATTCTGTGGACATCTTCATCAGTTATTGTGAGGGAAACTCTATCATTGATTCTTATTGTTCTAGTATCAGGTTCAGTGTTGCATAGCACCAGCACTGTGAACTTACGATCTAACTTGTTTATTTGTGGAAGGTCCAACAAGCCTCCAAAATCCATATCTTTCACTATCTTCCTTTTACAATTGTCAAACTTGTTTATAATTGCGGCAACTTTTTTGCAAGAACTTCTAGGAGTTGCTGCATCACATTCTGAAGTGTCCGAATTTTTAGAATCATTGGACTTCCTATCTGAACTATGATCATATCCAGACATGTTCTACCAAATCCTACATACGCAGAGTAGGTACACGAGTTAATTTTACTATTATAATAATTTATCTTTGACTTTGAAGAAACTTTGTTTTATTAATTTCTTCAACTTGCTGTACTGCTATATGAAATGTAAAAAAATGCTTATAACATAATTTATTGTCCATATCACTTCTTTACCTATTGTTATACATGTTGAAGTAAAGTGTTTCTATATTTATATAACAATTTAATTCCAATGTGCAGCTAAATATATAATTTCACTAACTTTTGAAATGTATGCACACAACACATTTAGCTGTTAGTTACAAGAAATATATATACATATCAGTATCTATGTAATCCATAGTGTCTTCAATATATCCATGTATAATAATGTAATGTGATTTGTACTCACTGTAATAGTGAAATTTGATTTTTAAGTGACACACAAAAATATCAGACTTAATAATGCAAAACATGAAAACATATTCCAGCAAACGGTTCTAGTAGCTATAACCGAAACTATGGTAGTTAGAAATAATTCAAGAAGTGTCCTTCCATGGTCCAACTACACATATTGGTATAGAAGAGATTGCATGATAAGGGTAAGTGGTGGTCGTAGTAAATAGGAATTGCTTGGATGAACCGGAATAAAATTTTATAGATTGAACATCCCGCCTAACCTCTGATTGTTGAACAATCCACTCCTTTTTTAGATCAGTAGAAGAAGAGTTGACATACTAATCCCCCAGATGATGCAGTGGAGATTGGAAGAGAGCTAGAAGGAAAACATCAATGGCGATTGACCGAGAGCTGTGCGTGCTGATGCGGTGGAGAGCTAGAAGCAGAACATCAATGGCGAATGTCTGAGAGATGTCCTAGTTGAGTGCTTCTCTGGCTGTGATATTGAGTTATGGGCAGAGGTAGTGGGAGAGATCGCTTGCATAGTACCACGCGTGCTATGACAGAAGTCATCCCCTTGGTCTACGGGATGGATTTGACATGGATTTGACAACACACAACGCTCTCTTAATTGTTTGTACTATTCTGCAGCAGACATGTAAATTTTACACATTGGCCACCTAGTTAGACTAGATATGTAAAGTTCTGAAGGTAGTATAATATGACATTAATAACAATCATGTGACAGAAACAAAGTAGACCAAACATTGAAACTACAAACTGTAAGGAGGTGTTATATGTTAAAAAACATGTAGGAGTGAAATGAAAAAACACTCCCCTGGATATTTTTTCTTGTATGGTTTCAAAATTGGGAGGTCCATTTTGGTGGGAAAACTACCTCTCGCAGGAGTAGTATAAGAGCAACGCTTACACTTGTACATGTCCTCCTACCTCTCAAACTATTAGGAGACAATGAGCATGGATGAGAAGAATGGTGTTTTCCTCTCTTCCTTCACCAATGGCAGCAATGATCCGAATCAGATGGAAGGAAAAATTAGTTCATCCAAGGTACTTTGTATAAGTAGTTACTTGTTATGTTCTCATATTTGTTGTTCGAAGATTCTTATTTCAGTATCAATTGGTGTGCATGTCAATATCTTCTTCTAATCTCTCATTTCAATTTGTCTTTCACTTATGTTTCTTAGAAAATTTCTGAGGGGAGCTCATGTGAAGATGATGCTGACTCCAGCATGCGTCCAGTACATACGAAATTCTTGCAGCAGAGCCAGGTCGAACCAATAGAAGTAAGTCCACTGTAGTACATTCTTATTTCATTCATGGGTGATTAATATGTTTCTGCTGTGCAGCCTCCTTTGTTACTACTTGAAGATAATGGTTTGGAGGAGGTGGTTGGAGAAAACATTGTTGGTGATAATATACAATTTGAAGCAGAGCTAGATGAAGGCGACCGTGCGTCTGATGTTGAGGCTGAAAGACAACATCGTGTACACGAAGAGCCAATTGCGTACTTGCAGCTGCGGAGGATCGGCACGGATGGAAGATCGATGAAGAGGAGAAGAATCAATAATTAACTGTGGGACATTGAAATTTCAGATCTTAGTTGTGTTTCGTATGTCATTTTGTGTGTCAACATGGTTGGGATTTAAGCTTCGGTTTCAATTAGACCATATTTTGGATTGTGAAGTACTTACATTTGAAACGTTATGTCCAGAATATGTGAGTAAGCATGTTCTGTAACATTTGTGCTACCTCTTATGTAATGGTTTTATCAATTAGAAAATTGAGGGAAATGAAATTACTCACTATGAAATGGTTCTATAACATTTCAGCTTCTTCTTATGAAATGTTTGTATAACATTTCTGTTACTTCTTATGTAATGTATTTCAGTAAAATAAAAAAACCTGTCACACCATTTTTCAGCTACAGTATGAAATGTATTAAGTAATTGTACGTTATCATGTATTTCATATTTCAATTGGCAATGGAGTTAGAAACTATCAATACCTATGATCTGTGAAATAGTGCTAATATTAAAAAAATTCACTCATAAATGTAAATGTACTTACTAAAATTAAAGGTTTCACTTCTATAAGCTGTGAAAATTTGTTTCAAATTAATTTTTACCTTCACTAAAACTATTATGACACGTTAATAGATACTAGTGTAAAGTCTGAAAATAAATCTAAGTTTATATAATCTGGTAAAAAACATAAGTAGTACATGAAGTGAAACATGAGTAGTTCATGACGTGAAATACTGAAATGTAGAGATGGTACAGCTAGTACATAGAGTGATGATCTAAGGTGCTGAATAATATTACAATCAGTGAAATATCAATTTCAGTGATAGTAAACACTAATGAATATCAGTAGAAGTGAAATACAAAAAAGTATTACGTAATCTTTCTTCTTTGAATCTGCACTAATTGATAGAAGTCGCTCCTTCAGCATCTTGTTCTTAGAAAGGAAATGGTTGTCCTTGTAACTTTTCTCTTCATTGGCATCTTCTAGTTTCACCAATGTATTTTCTAAGTCCAGATGTAGGCTTGCCAGGTAGTTCTTCATGGGAGTTCCATGTTCCGGATCAACCCAACAGCTCCATGCACATTCTTGTCCCTGAATACAATAGCATTGTGGGAAAAGTAAGCATAAATATAGGAAGTTCACATTGCCTAGAGTGTGGGCTTAGTTTCTACTCCTTACATTTATAGGACAACCGAGGAAACGCCTACCGCCATGCTCGCTGCCCCATGCCACCCGGTGTGCAGGACTGTATCCATGGATGCATCGACGGAGAGTTTGCTGGTCAATCCCGTTCCAGCTTCCACCAGGTTGTGGTATATACATAACATCTTCATATACGACCAATCCGACACCCTAAACACAACATGGAAGTAAGCATGAAGTTATAGGAAACAAATCCTAAGAAGTTCTATTCGAAAATATAAGAACTTACCTGGTTATCCGCAGCAATGTTCATTCCTGAGATGTCCAAAGGTGGTGCGAACGAAGACTGCTGCTTAGAGATTGGATTGCTGCCTGTGCTGGTGCCTCTGTACAATGGGTGGTGTGTATAATATAGGCAGGCAATGTTCCACTTACACAAGCGTTGGTTTGTAATAAATGAGCAATAAGTTCAAACATGTGGTTACACAGGTAGCATCAATTATTGCCTCTGAACTAGTAGGTGAAAATTTGATGCATCTTATGTACCGATATGTGCGCTACTCTGCGGACAGGTATGTTGTAGGACATGATATAACAATGAGCGTGTAGCATTTAACACCTTTTTGAAATAGTCGGGCTGAAATTATGCGAACCGATTTCTATTGACGACACACTGGTTTTTAAAAATAAGTAAAACCCATAATAATAAGTTGTACTACAATTTTTCCATGAAAGCATCTTTTTTGCCGTAACATAAGAGCAATTCAACTTGAACGGCATTTGTGAACATATTAATATCAAATATGAATTGAAATAAAAAAAATTAGTTCACTATGTTTCCCAATTTTTTATTAATGTTATAAGAAAATAAGGTAAAAGTGCCATTGAGAATTGCTTATATAAAATGAATTTAGCCATAAGGAAAAATAATATGGAAAATTTTCTATTATTTTCAATGTATAAGGAAGTTACAATATATTAGAAATGACACAATTTCCAATTTTGTACTAGTGAAATATGCAATGTAAATAACTTCATATTACAATTTATACTGCTTCATGAATGTGTTGAAAATAATTCAATATGTTAAATAGTAGATGTGAGATTAGGAATATTATTCAAATATAACAAAATTCATTATATGATGAATATTATTAGATGTCAAATAACAAAAGGTATACTTTTGAATAGCTTCACTGACTGCAATGTAGAGTTATGAAACAATGTTTTAATATTATGAATCCCAAACACATGTTTTCTCATGTAGAAAAAATATTTCATTACATATGAAATATAAATTAAATATCCTTCTCTTAAATCGAATTATGTTACATACATTATAATATAGATACAAATTGTGTATTGATGTATGTCGAACATGACATATGAAAATCAGTAGAAACGCTTGCAAACTATTTCAATATATACTAGTCTGTTTAATTTTTACCAAAAAATGATGTTCGGAATGTTAACAATTAAGACATCTCATATTAAATAGTATACATTGGAAAATAAATTTAGGTTCTCAATGATTTATTGTGAGTAGATGGAAGTGAAATGTCATATTTACAACATCTCGTCTTTCATTCTTTACACGATAGTAACCATATCAACTATGTAATTCTCAGAATATTTGTCAGCAAATTGACATATGTAGTACATACCATATTCTTCATATGACTATCTGGATGCGAAATATGAAACAAAGCAGAACACATGTTTCATTAATATGAAATAAGAAATAAACTAAACATATTAAGTACTACTTACAATATTGTTAGTGATGTATTTTGATACATACATTGTACTAATATCCAAAATGTGCAATATGACATTTATAAAAAATATGTTATCTGTAATATGATTTTGTGAATTCACTTATGTCAAACTTGAAAAATGAAATTAAATTGAACTGATTGCACCGTACTTCAA